TTTTTTTTTTTTTTCTTTTCAATCATTGGCACTTCAAATTCAATATAAGCGACCGCGTGGTTTAATTTCAACGTAACATTGAATATATTTTCAAATGATTGATTAATTGTTGGCAAAGTTCATTGCCCCAAGTCCCTAACTAACTCGATTATAGTAAGATTAGTTAGAGGATTTCATCTTCAAGGGCATAATGTGATGTGTTTTTAATCATAAGGTTGGACTTAATTAATGCTTATAGTTGTGTGCATGCATTATAATTTTCAAAATATTACGCGGTTCACGCGCAAATTCTTTTTTATTTGTATATTTACGAAGTTTCTTTAATTTCAAATATATTAATTACTTTCGTTGTTTATGAATGGTTGGTTTGTACATTTTATATTGGTTCATGAGTCGTTTACGAATGATATAACTGTGATTATTATGTGGATTGTATTTTCGTAAGGAAAAAAAAAAAGAAAAAAATAATAGTATACATGTAAAATAATATATATTTCTGCAAGATAATTTACTCGTTTACCTCAAACCACTAGTGATTGCATCCAATTTTTCACCGTTGGATCAACACATGTTTGTATGAATCAATCCAATGATAAAAAATTAACAGAATTTTTTTATTGTTGGATCAACACACACTCGTATTAGTATGTATGTAAACATGTCAATTCAATCGTGAAAAAACTCGATAACTGCATTGTAGTCACGAATGAGTCAGACTCCAATTTTCTCAAATTTTACATGTATATATCCCAAAATTGGTAAGTGATTAATTTAATGATAGAAGAGTGTGGTCCGTAAAATTCAATAAAAAATGGGTAAAATTAGCCATCACCAACAACCATATTAAATATATCTTAACCCGTGTAAACATTAATATCATCACTACGAGTCTCCCAAATTGAAAAACCTCATAATATGTAGGAATTGTTTTTTCCTTTTATTAGGTTTCATTTGTATCTTCCACGTCTATTATTATTCCATTATGTGTGAATTTCTAGGATGTATTTAGGGTTTATCATATTCATTAAATAATGCCTAGGTAGCTAGCTAGTTACATGGTAAAATCTAGAGAATAATTATAAAGAAAATTGAAAGTGAGAATAGAATAAATAATATTCGAAATCCCTTTTTTAGGATGTATATTTTAGGGGGCGTTTATTTTGTGGGATAGGACAAGATAAAGAAAATAATTCCGGATATCTTGCGTTTATTTACCGGGATTGGGATGGGAATATACTTACCTGGCTCCCATGTGGCAAGCAATAGTCAGCGTTTCTCGGACAAAAGAAATCCCGCCACCCCCGCCACCCCCTCCCCCCCTGACAAAATAATCCCAACTTTAGAGATGTTAAATTTTCAGTTTTGCTATGGAGCCAACTGTTAGCTTCATAGCAAAACTGGTTAAATATTTGACAACCACAAATTAATTTTTCGTTTTGTACCCAAATAATAATATATAAAATATATGAAAAAGAAAAAGATTTTTGGTAACTTGACTACCTAAGTATAGTGACACTTTTGAGGCCTATAAATACTTAGCCAAAATCAAATTATTTTGCTCATTGAAAATTACATCAATTAGTTAGTATCCCAAAGAAAAACCAAGAACTTCACTTGGTGTCAAGAATGGCCATCTCATCCCACCATGACATAGCCTTTATCTTTGGCATTCTTGGTATTTATCATCTTTAATATTTTTCTTTTCCCTAATTTTTTTTTTTTTCAAATTACAAAAATTAAAGAAACACATTTATGTGCTAAACTATTTTTTTTTTCTTTAATTTATTCATCTTTTTTCAGGCAACATAGTGTCGTTCATGGTTTACCTTGCACCGGTGTAAGAACACAACACGATCATAAATCGAGCTACATTTTTAATATCATCATCATATTACACAAAATTTTCCAATCTTTGTAATTTCTAACGGTTACATATGATTAACATTTTTGCAGGCCAACATTTTACCGAATATGCAAGAAAAAATCGACCGAGGACTTTCAAGCTATACCTTACGCAGTCGCACTCTTTAGCGCCATGTTGTACTTATACTATGCATTTCTCAAGGAAAATTTGATCATTTTAATCACAATCAATAGCATTGGATTTGTTATGGAGAGTGCATACTTAACTATCTTCATGATCTACGCAACAAAAGAATCCCGAGTAAGCTTTCAGTTCGACAAATTAAAAGTACGATTTTTTCTTTTCATAATTTAATCGACTTATTTATTATTATTGTTCGGGCAAATTTTTGCAGGCTTTTACGATGAAACTACTTGTCACGTTCAATGTGCTTTCGCTAGCAATGATTATTGGTTGCACGTATAGTTTTGCACAAGGAAAGTTGAGGTCGAAAATTGTGGGTTGGATTTGTGTGGTCTTTTCTGTCAGTGTTTTCGCTGCGCCACTAAGCATTATGGTACTTATACGTAAATACATACTAAGATAAACGAATTTCGTGATTTATTTGTAATAACTTCAGTTTAATTTTCCTAAATTTAATTTAAATTTTTACTTGTTCATGCAGAGACAAGTGATCAAAACCAAAAGCGTCGAATTTATGCCCTTCTCACTCTCGTTCTTCCTCACAATATGTTCCGTCGTGTGGTTTTTCTACGGATTATTAATATCCGACTTTTACATTGCGGTGAGTGTATACATATATATATATATTACGCGTTTCTGTAATTTTTTTCAGCTAATTTTTCAAGCGAGCGTTCATTTCCGTACGCGAAAAATCAGTACCATTAGAAAATGTCATACTTTATCAAATAAATATAAACAGAAATATGATATTTGATAATAGAAGTATTTTTTATTTTGACGTGATGTATATTTCATTCAGGCACCAAACATTTTGGGCTTCACATTCGGTCTAATGCAGATGGGTTTGTACTTTGTATACAAAAACAAAAACGCGACCAAACAACATAATCAACCTTCGAACGAGAGCTACGAAACTAAAGTTCACGACATTATCGCCGTTGAACTAAACTCCTCGCTCGACAAGAAACTCGACAGTGGTTTGGAAAACGAGTCGAAAAAGCTCGATTTGGAAATTGTGGTGCTCGATTGTGAAGAACATGTAACAGGAATAGCTGTAATTCAGAGTCATTAAATAAGAATTTGCATAGAGGGAAAAAAATATATATATTGTTGATGCATTAATCATATGATTTATATATAAGTTAATGTGTGTCTTATACTTGTAACCTTTAATTTGGATTATGATTTTAGTTTGTAGCAAATATGTAAGAATATTAGTAAGTAATAATGAAAAATAAAATGAGGACATATTATTGCATCTGTAAGTTATATAAGTTGAATTATATATTATCATTTGTATTGATCATATTAGCTGATTGGATCAATATATTTGAGCAATTGAATGGATTAATGGACTATGCAAATTCAATTAAATGATTGATTAATTAACAAATTCAATTAGTTTATTGAATTAAATTTGACCACAAGTTACAACGAATGTTTGTGCCAAACAATTAGTTCTATATTTAGAATTAATTACAAGTTATGGACAAAAGAAAATTAAGAATAAAAAGTGCTGATTATTGCAGTTCAATTAACTCACGCATATATAATTACGTTAGTTAATCCTAATCATTAAGCACAAAAGTCCAAGTTTATTTCAATTTTGGCTTTATAACACATTTAACAAACTCGAATAACGTGGAGTTTAATTCAATTCCACTAAATCAGGTGTGTGCATAACTTAGATCTCCATTTCAATTAACCCCAAAATTTCTTTAAGAAGGTGAAAGTTGAATAATCATGTAATTACAAGAAAGAAAAATAATTTGATGGCACACATATAGTGTTTGAAAATTCATCTATACAAAAACTTGATTACAAATTAATAGATATAAATATTTATTTGCATAATGTATCAAATAATATATACATATTCGGACAAAACATATTCGGACAAAATAACAGACGTGTAAATCACTTTTAGAATCTAACGTTGAAGTTCCAGCTTACTGTCAGCGCGAGTTCAACGATCGACTACAGTACAAATTTTTGTCAACCAGAATTAGTGAATTAATAACCTTCTCGATGTACAAAAAACCTCAATTTATTCAATATTTTGTATTTTTCAGATGAAATCGATACGAAACAAAAATAGTACTATACCAAGTTGC